GCAAGCAAATACGCGCTCGCACTAGAGCATGATCTGAATCAAAGCATGTGCTCCAGAATGAGCGACAGTCTTCTATCGAGCCCCTCCATCGGTGGCTGATAGAGATGTGATCTATTTGGGTCCAACGTTGGGACGAATTAGGGGGTCGCCATGTTAAAAGATGTTTTTCCTTATGCTTAAAATTAGTATTTGCAAGGAACAGGCGGTTATCTGAGCATAGCTGCAACAGACGGTCGCCATTATCTGTTCTTTGAGCCACGACACCATGAGATCCACCTAGGTGTCTTTCCATATCGCTTAGTTTACCTACTTGAGCATTAAAGTCACCGGCCACTATTACTACATCAGAGCGCCTAGCTTTTCGGAGAAGGTCGGAAAGCTTTCTGTAAAACTCATCTTTTACATCACCTGAGCTGCAGTCAGTGGGAGAATAGGCAGAAACGGCGGAGAGGCAACGACGAGTGTCCCTATCTTTCCGGATTCTTACTGTTCCGTTCAGTCGGACAGCGTACAAACGGCTGTCTACCGGGATCCACTCTAAGAGAGCTAGTTCTACCCTAGGACTCAATGCTATACCTACGCCGGCGAGGCCACGGGAAGCAGCATCTGGGCTTCCAGATACACGAAGCGTAAATCGAGTCGGTTCTTTATTTTGGCATGGTGAGGTTAAATGAATGACGCTACTCGGATCTCGTATGCGCGTTTCGGAGACGCAGCACACATCGATGGCGCAAGATTCTAAAGTCCTAGCTAAGGAAGCCTGCTGTCCTATTTGGCACAGTGTTCGTACGTTAAAAGCTCCTACGTGTAGTTTAGAGCGTGGTTTCAGGAGACCAGGAATAGCGTTCCGCGTACTCGAATCGTTTGCTCTAGCGGTGCGAGGTGATAAAGAGACGTGAGGAGGGTTAGTCATGGAGATAAGAGGGGTATTAGGAGGTGTAGGAAGGATTTGAATGTGACCAGCTTTGTCTCGTGTGCTGTTACGGGTATGAGGGCTGATGTCACTTCCCGGCTGCCCACACCGTGGAAGGGTATTTCTTGAGGAACCTGAAAAGGAAATTGGATTAGTGTTGGTCTTGACGACCTGGGAGCGTGACCACAGAGCCCAAGGGACAACTGCTTGAGGCCGGTCGCGCACGGCCTTTTTGTGGAAGGTTTTTGACGTGTTAGCTCCGTTCTTCAAGGGGCCTTACCGCCGGAGACGGAAATCCGTGAGGTAAGGTGAGGTGTGCATTTTTAGGGTCGACCTTTTCTAACCCCACCCCTCCTTGTGGGAAGGCAGCATCGCTGTCATGCTGGTTGTCCGAGGGAAACACCTTACTGCTGTCACACCTCTCTACAGTCAGCAGTACGACTTCGCCCTCAGACCTTGAGTTGCTGCTTTTAGTCTTACCGTTCGCCAATCGACCTGCCTGGCATGGTAGAACCTGCAGGAACATATGTTCCAGCCAATATAGCTCGGTTGGGTCATCACGATAGGCAATCCCGACCACCGCGTCAAGGTAGCAGCTTCGATCGGCATCCATAACAAGAATGAAACCACTTCCACACGATTATGTATTTATGCTGTTTCTTTATCTTAATGCTTTAAATGTGCGAACTCGACAGATCTTCATTAAAAAGGGACACTATCTCTGTGCTCTTAAATTTGCATCCAGTGGTGCCTTCTTTTACATCAACTGACAGATTGAAGACGTCTATAAGTTTATACGGAATTGTGCTACTGGGACAAGCAGTACACTAAAAACTGTGTAATGTTAACCGTCCTTACAGCTCGTAATTTAAGAAAATCACTCCTGAGTGTAACCATCATCTTTTGCCATTGGACTGTCAATGATGAATAATTTAGTGAATGAATGACAGAATTCTTTAGATTTTAACGAACGAAAATGAGACGAGTCGTGAGACCTGTCAAGTATGGTAACTTGTGTCAGCAAAAATTTCTAAAAACATTATGCAGTTCTGGAAGGTGACACAGAATAATTCCCGGTGATTCTGAGGTTTCGATAAGAACAAGACAAATTTTGTTGATCTGATTAGTAAAATCAATGCGTCACATGAAAACATTAAGGTGAATAACTTCATTTGATGGTTTTTAGACTTGGTCTTAATTCGACCAACCTATGCAAATTATATTTCAAAATCGTTTACTTTTAAAAAAAAATATTTGATCATATTAAGTTATCACTTTATTTACTTATTTATTTTAACACATACATATTGGCACAAGGAGGTAACAAATACATATGCGCCACACAAATCTCATTCGATATGTGTGAAGGCTGTGGTACTGCCCGGGTGCCCAAACCGAAGCAGGTGGTTTTCTTAGGGGGCCACTCCCCGAGCCTTCGACCTGAAGGTCTGACCCACAAGACAGTGGAGCATCGTGAGGAGATGCAGTCCCATAGAAGCCGGTGACCAACAATTGATTCATACACCACTTGTTTCCGCAGGATACTGGAGCCCATGTGCACCAGTGGTTTGGAATCCGGTTAAAGCGCCGGACATTCGCTGGCAGAGGCTATATACGCGTGACCATGTAAGAGCGGTCCGAGAGGGAGAGCGGACTCTCCCCACTCTCGGCCGTACCAGGGCATTTGTGAGCTGTTACTTTACTAGTAAATTAATCTATGTCGCTCACTAAATGTGTTATGTTTGTCCTTGATTCAAATGAAAACTTAGGTCAATTAATGTCTCTTGACCAGTTATGACAATCGTATAACGATATCGTCAATCATGTTATCATTTCTATACATAAAATCCTTTGCATGGTAAATCCAAAAACATCTTTATATAACAGTGAAACATGGATAAAAATCATTTGCGTCGAACGAGCAGAAATGATTATTCCTCCAGAAAATATATTTACAGTTCAAATTAGTCGGAAAACTTGATATTATTTTTGACAGTGATCCAAAACCTGAGTTTAGTTAACCAGCTATTAAAACAGATTCCACTGAGGTTTAGAAAAGATCTATTAAAGATGAAAATCACTGTTTAAGTGCAGTGATATCAAATTGATGCAATAAAATTAACAGAAAACCTAATGTTCTTAAAATTATTTGACTTGGAATTTAGAACCTGTATTTTTCACTGACTGCCTACACGTATCATAGTTAAATAAATATGATTGATACAATTTTGTCTAGATACATATCTATACTAATATATATAATATATAGATAAACATCAGAACTAAGATAACCTTGCAAAATGCATTTAAACCAAACAGTGGACACTTAGATTTTCATATAAATAGAAATTACACTTATCCGACCTAATACCGTATGGAAGATGGACTCTACTGACCTAATCGAGGACTAAAATATCAGTTCGTACAAACTACAAAATTAGTTCCTTATCTTTCCTAAATATGTGATCGTTCATAAGTTTCTCTGAAGTCAATGGGATGAGAATCGATCGAGAAAATAAGCATATAACTCATCAACCACTGGGAATTTTGAAGTGAGCGATGGCCAATAACTATTTAGAACAGGAATCCCAGAATGTGGTGTAATCAGATCACTTGCTTAACAAATTAGTGTCGTAACATCATGAAGTTCATCCACGTTATGATGGCATGAAATACATTTAGACTGAAATAAGTAATGATTTAACTCATTTCATCAACAATGGACTGAAGTAAACGAGTTGGACACCACTTATTTGTCTTCGCTTCACCACTAACATTTCAGACTCGGTAGTAACGTTAAGTTTGATAAATTAGTCGAGTTGTATCTAGTTAGTAAATCCCAATATCAATCTATTTCCTCCTTTTTAGTATTTTCATCTCTAACTATTAATAAAATTTCACTAGTGAGAATTAATTCTTCAATTCTATTGATTTAATGGGAATAAATACATGGCTTTATCAGAAAACCCACACATCTATAGTAACCATTCATATAATGTAACGAAAACCAATAAAAACATGTGTCATAAAAAAACGCTCAGTTTTTACATATCAACGACAATAAGTCAGACTTGTAGCTATAGGTCAGTAGTAAGTAGACTTAATCATACATTTTCACACTACACCGACTAAAAAATTCGAACATAAGTGGCAATACCACTATCACTACAAGATGCAATTCAGCGATTCATCTAATGACCACTACAATGTATTCTGCATCGAAAGTGGCAAACAATAAAAATGTAATCCTATTCCATTTCAAACCTATGATAACTTCCTATAATTATGGACAAAAAAAAATCATGAACATGCCTGTTTCGTCTCACATAAATTTTGTTATTTTTCAATAATTTTTATCATGGTTAAAGAAACAAAGTTCATGCTGCACAGTAGAATGTAAACTGGACATGAAAGATAAGAAACAGGAAAAGAAGATAACTAGCCAACCATTGAGATACTCTTAAACGTATGAACAAAAAAGATGAGTTGGAAAAGTGTGCATAAGTCGTAAATACAAAACAAAGACCACAATTTTAGTATCGACTACAAAGCGTTAAGCAACACATTTAAAAAGGGGAAGGTAGGAACAAAACCATAAAAAGAATAACAAGAAAAAGCAACGACTAGACCATAATACTTAGTTCGGAAAACAAAAGAAATAGCATAAGTCATATGAAGATATTAAAGAAAGTGATTAGAAGGGTCTAGAAGATAAATCTTAGAAGAGAGACAAATAGGCAGCTGAGACAAACCATTTAAAGCAGATTCTGCTGTTATGTTAACCGATTAGGATATAATAACGCAAAAAATATATCAAGAGTTGTAATAGTAAAGTAACAATAAAATTTGGGTACATAAACTCCAGAAAAAAGGTCAAACTCTCTGAAGGTTATCAAAATGCAAAGTTGGGTCCCCGTAAGACGAATCACGAGTTTCGAAAAGCTCTTAAACAGTTAATAAAACTTAGTTTTCTTTCCACACTGCTGTCCGGATAAAAATTAATAACGGAAATACAGCAAAATAAGATTTTTGATGTAAACATACGATAAGACAAAAACAACTCAGTTCTTATAATGTCTGATCGCTACTACATCGTAGATGAATTTGAGATGGCATCTGAATGCGAAACTGATGGAGACATCATAGGAAACCTTAAGGTATCAGTATTTTGTGAATCTAAACACACTTGTCTACTCTGTAAACCTGTTGAAGTTAAATTTGACAAGATAGAACTATTGCAGTTAGAACTATTTAAATTTGAGTGGATGAAAGTACCGGCTGGTGATGATGACCCAACGGGACCAAATGTAGTGAAATCAAAAGAGTTGGGCTTATCATCAGTGGAACTTCTCATCCCGAATTGAAAACAACTAGGTTCATTAGATGTCATGAATATTGAATGTGGGTTGAGATTAGTAAAGCTATCACATACTGAACTATTAAAATTCAAACTACTGTACGACTGAGATGATAGTTCTTCCTGGTGACCAACTGTATGCACTGGATCTGTGGAATATGAGTCAGCTACAATCCGAGGACTATATGAACTAACTGCAGTTGGGGTTGTTGACATGGACTCAGTGACACAAACTGACGAATTCGCAACCACTTCTAAAGATGGCAATGATAATGTTCCATTAATAGAGTGTGAATAATGCAAAACACTAGAAGCAATATCACCCTGTAAGAGGCCGGGAGGTGGAACAAACAAAGGAGGGGGTGACGAAGCTTGGGCTGAATTCCCGACAGTCATTGGTCTGGTACTACACAACGGCATAGATCTGGTTGGTAAAACTCTATTTAAAACAGCATTATCATATGACGTGTATCCTCCATTCATACATTTCATACCAAGGGTTTCGAAATGACTGAGATGAAAGGCGTTTGAATTAGGTAGTTTATCCGGACGAAAATGCATTCTATTATTTATGTGACAATGGTCATTTAGACTTGTTTGATAACCTAGTCCAGTATTGGTTAGTGACGACGACGATGGAATAACCTCTTCCGACGAAGTAAGATGACCGAAATAGTCCAAATTATTAAGATTAGTGGAATTATTTATTTCAGAAATTCCATGAAATTTTCTATCAGTAACAGGAAAGGGGGATGTGAAGAAAGGCTTTGATTTGGCACAAGGATCAACAAAATAAATGCTTGACTTTTGATTTGTTAGATTATTCAATGGCGCAGATGTTTCATATGGAGTCAAGGAGTAGGACTGATTATAAGAATTCATTCTGTTTGTCGACCCAGTTTTAGAAACAATTCTGTCTATATGGTTGTGCTCATCTATTTGTGTTTTGTTAAAGTTTGTGTACATCTGTGAAGTATCTGTGACAGAATATGAGTTAATTACACATTCTTCGTTAGGAATGCCATCCAAAGGGATTGAAATGTTTGAAACTTTAGCACAATTCGATGTTGAAGCATTCATTCTGCTTACATACTCACAGAGATTTGGAGTAAGGCAATTCAAGCGCTTGTTAAGTTCGACGATTTGGTACTCCTTCTTTGTAAGTGTAGCTGGAAGAGTAGTTAGTTTTTTTTTTTTAAAAAAAGCTTGATGATTTCAACCAACAAAAACAAATTGATACTAAAAAATATATATGCAGTCCCATGGTAGCTGGCGACAAAATATGGGTTCGTACGCCATTTTCCCTCAGGATGCTGGAGCCCATGTGCTCCACTGGTTTGGAATCAGGTTTTCCAACATCCATAGGTGGACCCTCTGTGTACACCAACCCGGTTAAAGCGCTGGACATTCGCTTTTCATCCTCTCAGCTTCGTAGACAACACCCCTGCCGCGAGAAGGCAATGAGCAAGACTTCCTTGATAGTGGCTGTGTACGCGTGGCCATTTGAGAGCATTTCGAGAGGGAGAACTGGTTGTCACAACCCTCGGCCGTACCACGGCATTGGGATGGCAAGTGAATAATAATCGGATAGTTCTCATCTAGTGAGTGATTTAGGGGACAAACAATCAGGCTCCATGACACATGTTCATCTTTTCGACTAATGATATCTAAGAAAGGTAACAGGTTATTATTCTTTTCTTAGCATGAAAGTATAACGTAACTTTAAAGATATTGAGTTTCCTTAACAAACAGTTTCGACCTTTATTATTGCTACATGTGACTACTGTGTCATCTACATACGCCTTGTACACAGTCATCGGAACGCATTACGCTCGTGTATCACACAGTTACAACAAACCTCATCTGCTCATTCTATTATACAAATTTGTCAAACGGAGTGTCCTAAAGTTTTAAAACACATTGCTAAATTATAACTTTCCTTTAAACAAGTCAACTCAGATCAATAGTTGGCGACTAGACTAATAAACTGAAGAAGTCAAGTCACAAGACGTAATAAGGTTGAACGATGCAAGTGTGAGTGAGCTATGATGATTATTTTGTATATTCACATGACTAAGGAATATTAACTACAATATTTCTTACCTGCATCAATCCAATTACCTGGAAATATATATGAGTTGCAAATGCCATCGCTTAATTATGGGGTTTCGCCTATAATTATCTTGCATTCCTGTACACTTAGTTTAATATTGAGACTTATATGTGCACCATAGGAGCTAAATCAGACCACAGACCAGACCTTATGAATATTTACATTATTACATTAAAATCAAAAATAATCAGTTACATGATGACAAAAGGCACATAATAAAGCAACTGAAACAAACCATTTAATTCTGTTATCTCTTTTAGGGAAGAATGGTAAGCCGTCATAAGCTCCTGTTTCATTTTGTCTTCCTCTTTTAAGGTGTCTGTCAGACGTTGATTTTCTTCTTGCAAAGAGTTTACACGAGAGGCAAGATCACTTAATTCAGTCTCAGTTATTTCATGCTTTTGCCGCCGTTTGCTCATATTGTAGTTTTGTTCCACAGAATTAGATTGTTTTGTTCGTTCAGTTTTAGTTTGCTTCTTCCATGTCTTATCATTGGATTCACTTAGTCCACCATGTGAAAAACGTTCAGAGTTCAGTGCTGTAAGTTGGTTATTTTTAATAGTTAAAGCTTTTGTAAGATTTTGCAATTCTAATTCTAGTTCCTGCCTTCGTTTTGCGCATAATTCATTGTTTTTGCATGCTTCAACGCATATGGGATCACAGGAATTTAATGAAGTACTTCGAGATTCAGTCATTGAAGATCTGAAATAGGAAAAATATTTATAAAGAGATGAGAAAAGACAGTAAAAGTCAAACAAATTTAAGTGACAGGTCATAAACTAATAATTTCATAATAACTCATGAAATCTTTGCAGATATCATGATCATTGCAGCCTTAGTCAAACGGTCGACGAAATCATGTGACGATATGAAACTAGACAAAAATCAACTATATATATATAATCACGGACAAACGATATGCTGAACAAATTAAAAACATTCTCGCCAAAGGAACCCTGAAAATACATTTCCTGAATCTTAATAACCAGACTCTAAATATTAAAATACGAATTCTTCGGAGTTTGATGTGCATTTTACTGTAAATTTGTACCTAGTTGAACATTCATTTAAAATTTTATGAGTTGCTTAGAGTTGGGTCTATTATGGAGATACCTAAAGACATCCGTTAGAAATGTTGAATTACGACGATAATATATTTTAATTGTCTGATAAGTAACGAGTAATTTAATGGTGGGTAATCACTCCGTGCGAGGATAACACATTATGGTGTACGAATACAATCCTTCATTTGAAAAAGTAAATATATCTCCCTAAGTTTTATTAACCTCAACTATTTTTATACAAACTAATCAATTACACGTAATAATTGTCGAGACAAAAGCACTAATTATTGAGGAAGGTATAGATTAAATAAAACCTTACTTACTTGGAATCTGTGGTTTTAGAAATAACTGGTTCGTTAGATGTTGATTCTGAGGAGCTTGCTTCTATTTGTTTACCAGATTGCTGTTTGAACTGCTGTTCGAGAAGCAAACGATATTTACGCTCTTCAGTGAGACGTTTCTCAGCTGCCTGTAGACTGGCACGATCCGCCTGTAACACGAAACTCAGTGGCACAACTTAGTGTATAAATGATTTAAAAGATACAAGGCTAGTCAAAGTATGTAATATTAAGTTGGAAAAGAACTACATGACTACGTATACAATCAGAAGAGTCTTAGTTTTAGGTGACCCTGAACTGAACAATTGGTGATTAGAATGTAGAAAAAAGGGAGGATAAATTTCACTAAAAACTGTGAAATCCAGAAGAATAGATCAAAAGCAGATGAATTTCCTGTTTCCAAAATTAAATTAGGTGGGCATTGTTAGAATAATTTGAAGATTTTGACTGACAGTAAATGTTTAGGTCAATATTCCTTCAACAATCACTAGTTTCTGCAAAACACAAAGTTAGAGCAGATATCGAAACATCAGTAGATATAGTGACCAGAGATGGGTTTATAGTTGTAGTTATATTTAGTGAATTTGCCAATTTAAGTAGGAAGAAAATACTTTTAGTTTTCATGCAGATTTGAAATTGACAAGATTCATTTTTATACCAGATTTTTTAATGATATCATGGAGAAGTCTCATGCATCATATACCTAAAATAAATAATCATCCTTAACAATCCATTCAAGTGATTCAATAATATGAAAAAATCCTTTTCTGATGTAGTAGTGGGGCATTTGGTGTTCATATTTATGGTGAGATAACGATGATAAAAGATCAATCGCCAATGACTCAAGCTAATTACCTTGGTAAATAGAATAGCTTTCGAAGCATCAGACATATTTGACACATAAATGAAAACGAAAAATGTAAAGACTTATTAGTACTATTGACCTGTAAGCAGTTAAAGTAATGGAGAGGTAATAACAAAAAGGGATCCAGGTACTGCGAACGTTTAGTAGACCAAAAGATGATCTATTCTATTTCAAAAGACTGGGACTAACCAAGGCAGTATAAAACAATGTAATCAAGTGTTAACACATTAAATATAAGTTAGTTTCCACTAAAGAAACGTGTAGAATAATAATTGCAGGTAGTATTTAATGCATAAATAAAAAGAGTTATTCTGATAGTTTTGTCGCAAGAAGGATTATGTCAGGATTTTTAGTACCTAGCTAGTGATAAGAAAGGCCTCAACCTCAAAAAGAATAATAGAAGTATATCTTACAATAACGTATTATATTGCATATCAATTAGTAAAGTTAAATTAAACTGAGACTAGGTTACTTTAATATTCTTCGTAACCTGATTACTAATTCAAATTACATGAATCGTTAACGTTTTCTTCATATTACAAGACTGTAGAAACGATAATATGCGTTTTAAAGCTATTCATGAGACCTTTTTCTTTGTACTTAATACATAATACAAATTTATACAGATTGTTAGTATATATCACAATAAAATACACTTGATATGAAAAAGAAGGAAGTTGATAAATGGAAATGTTAAAATCAATCAAAAAGAAAGGGAGACAACACCCAGTCAGTAGTAATGGAATAATGTGCACATGAAATAATGAAATCATTTAATGGGTATATACGCACTATCATTATTATTGTGTATGAAAATGTTAAAGAAAGAGAAGGAAGAAGCAAGTATTAAAATATACTTATTAAATCATAATAAAAAAACTAGGATCAAGGATTGAATTTTGTTTAGTTGTAAAGTGTCCAATCAATAAGAAAAGTGTAACCACTTGTTGAATCAATCTATAAGAAAATGACCTGGATCAGGTGTCTGAGCAATAGTTAACTTTTTGAAATAAAATAATAGAAACTAGAGAGAAATTCACGCCTGGGTGTATATGACCTAAAAGATGAAATCAGGTCAAATATGAGAAGTGTAGCAAAATCGAATCTCCAAATATAGACTAAGACAAAAATGACTGACAGGCAAAAGAAAAAGTGTTAATGTAGTTAAAAAAAAACCTAAATTGATTTAGCCAATAAAACACCCACAACGAGAATTAAAAAAATAAAATAACCCTGATAATCATATAACCTTGCCAAAATATGGGAACTCGAAGGTGAATAAAAGAATTAAAGCACATTTTCGGACTTTTATCAATAATCGAAAAATGATGGAAAAATCAAGATCACTGGCTTCAAGTACAATATTTAAGCATTATGTTGACTCGGTGATTCTATTATAAATGCATACGTATTATATAATCTGTCCCTCTGATCCAACAAATAAATAAATAAAATATCAATAATATTCTTGTAATATGACAGCTGAGATAAATCGATAAACAGGTGATTTATTAAATAAATAAAAATCCGAAATATATAGCGACAGACGATCAGTTACTTTCAGACAGTAGACAATCTGATAGCTGTATACATAAGCCAATTTAGGCCGAAAAGATGAGTTTGAGAATATACATAAAGGTAAATGTTTGTGAACCCCGTGAGAAATTAGACAAAAACAAGATAAACGAAATAGTAAATTGACTAAAAATTACAACAGCGACAGTAATAAAGAGTGGTGGAAACATAACTTATCAAAAGATTAAAGAAATAATGAGATCTTAATAGTGAAGGTTATTACATACCTGAAGGCGTTGAGTCAATTGATTGAGCTTGGCTTGCAAACTTTCAGATTCTTGCTGAGCTTGAGAACTTTCAGAGCGATATGTTCGTTCAGCAGCAAGTAACTGCTGAACTTGACCACGTAACTGAATTTCTGAACTACGTAAAGACTGGATTTCCGATTTTAAATTTCTAGCCTCAGCTTCTAGTCTGCAATTTAGATAATAATCCAAAATGAAGAAAATTGTGAATAGATCATACAAACCTACGAAACAGATATTGAAATAAAAGCAGCAACATATTAGTCATAATCGATATGTGAATGTGCTGAACTGACAACTATAGATCGGAGTTATGTGGTTGACAATAAAAAGTATATTGAACTGAAGTACGATTAGTGGTTCAGTGATTATCAACTAATCACCAATTTACCACCAAACTATAATAAATAATAAAATACTTTCATCAATAATATTTATACCACTGACAGATTCAAAGTCATAAAAGATGGCCTCGAAATGTCTATGATTATTGTTTGCAAACCTCAGTTGGGAGGGGTAGATCTCCACGGCTTAGACCACCGGTTAGTGAGTTTTTAAACTTTTATTATGGTCTGGTCAGAATACACTTAATTTTCATCTAACCTGCTTCTATTTTACCGGGTAGACAAAATATGAGGTTGTGGGTGAATAACCAAAGTTTTACACCCCAGTCGATGAAGGTTCTCAGAATCCTCTTTTGTCTAATTATCCACATCCTACAACTTCATTGTTGACTTGGAGGCTTGACCATGAGAGAAGTAATTCAGAAACATTTGTGGTGAAGTACCGGTTGTATGGTTCAAGAGTGGACTCCTGTATAGTATGTTTACTTATTGACAGATAACTGGATATCACAACCTCGTGCACAAGTGGCCTAATGAAACTGAAATCAAACAGACTGTGTCCATATTGATATTCTATTATCTGTCAAACTAACAGGACAGATAAAACTACCAAGACGAGAGAAGTGATCAAGATGTAAATAAATTTATTTACACTTAGAAATGATGGAGTATTGACAGTCGATTAACTTATTTTGAACATTCGGTTAGTGAAAACTGAACCGATGTTTAAGGGTCTTTTTATGAATTTGCTTTTCTTTTGATTCACCACACCGAAAATTTACGACTTAAATTTTTGATCTAATGTCATGCTTTGTGTTCAATTAATCAGGTAGATAGATAGTTATATCACGACAATAATGAAAGCATCTAAAACCGGTTATTGGTCCTGAATATCGAAGGATGTATTATGTAATCGATGATGTAATTGATGAAATCAATACCACTATGTAGAGTAGGAGAACTCAGGTGGGGCAAACCAATTTATTGTTTTATGCAAAATTGAAGTGGATTAGTAAAATGTGAAAATCATGCATTAAATATATTATTTGCACAGTTTCTTTGCGTTGCCCTTTACATATTCCACTATTCCTTTAATTCCGTTGTTGTTTCGATTACTCTCCGATTTCCTTACTGCTCTCCTCATTTCAATGTTCTGCTGACAGGCATTCCACGTCTGATTGCTGCTACATACTAGCACATACAACAGAAATAGTAATAATAATAATACGTAGTTTTAACTGTAACAAAATATTCCCTAAGTTTCGCATTGAAAAAACATTAGCAGTGAAACTCAAAGAAACTCTGAATTCGGATGATAATGCAAATACTGGGAACCAGTAATGACCTAAGAAATACAATAATTGGATGAAATAACCACTAATTTTATATATATTAGAAACTTGACAATAACAAAATTTTTATATATATGATATGTGGTGGAGTTAACTTTACAAATGTGCAGACAAAATTTATCTAGAAAAATATTGCATCAAGTTTTGACGGTGACATTTATCTTGATGAAGCGATTGGTGAAAATGTGATAAACCTGTGAGAATTATTGTCTAGGGATTTGGTATATTTGTAAATTTAACCTGCGTCTACCAAACAACTGGTTCATGGTATTTTACTTGGTTCTAATCGCAAGCTTTTACTTGACTAATTTCGTTTCCTTAATATTTGATACGTCTTCTACTGACCGTAAATTACAACAAATAAGTCAGACTTATTGCTGAGATCTGTATCACAAATGCTCTAGTTATGTATACAATTAGAATTAATATTTATGGTGCGTTGCGTTTGTTATTCTATGTACATAATAACGTGAATCTTTAAATCAGAATATATGAATATAAGATAAAGCTGACTGGTTTTTCTGGTATCCTGGTTGATTTCCATTGAGGTAGTTGTGTTGGCTATCGATTGTTAGCATACACAGTGACTGTGTTAGCAGACTCAGTGCTAAAGATCATAGACTGAAGCGACGACAATATTCACAGATTTGTCAGATTACACGATTGATTAATAAATGTGTTAGATTGTTTGAATTCTGAAAAACAATTACAGATAGTTTGTTGCTGGGACTTATATTTTTGACTGGACTTCAAATCTCGGCAATTCTGAATAATGACGTGATCAAGAATTAGTTATAGAACCCTAGACAATTGAGGGATAGCACCTTACATAACTATGGGCTGAGAGACGTAACAGCAGTACAGTGGTATCGCTACTGTCGAGAAGTGTGTTTCAAAGTGGAGAATGAAGCGTCAAAATAGCTGTTCGGAAAAGAAAGTATAATAGAGAGAAGTGTACATGCGGTTTGGGTACGTAGCTTTTTCTTCAAAATAATTGGCAGGTATGCGGAATACAGGACTAAATACCACAAAAAGGTTATTTTCAGTGGGCTTTAAATAATAAAAATAAACCGTTTTACCTATAGTAGGATAGTATGTCTTATCTAGGACGACAGTGTACACAGATGATTAAGGGCCTAAACACGCCTTCACAAACGAGGCTACATTTATTGAAGGGTCGTCCATAAACAAACGTTTGTAGACCCGACGACAGGTGTACACACTAATAATGCAGAAATTAAGTGGTTAAGATTAAAGAACAACCCTTGAACATATAAATGTTCTAAATATGCAATGATTTAGAGCTATATGGACAAGTTTTGGTGTAGAATTTATTCTGATTTTTGTTTTATTGAACTCATGGCTAGCATCTACATATTTATTAATCATATTAAAACTCGACATTCACTATAGTTTTGCCGTTCTTTTTTCATACAACTTTCATTTACACAACCTGAATTCTAATAAGCTAATGACTGATAGATGTTGGGAAGGTCACTCTCTTTGATCTGTTCGTGGGTGTCAGAATTGCTTAGTCTAATGCTGATATCTGTTAAGTTCTCTTAACTTTTATAAAACACGAAATTGAGCTCTAAATAGCAGTAATATTGTGGATGTCAGAAATATTATTCATGTTTAACGTTTTATTAAACATAGTGCAACTTGTGTTAGTGGGAAATAGTTTGAATGAATGGCCATGTCTTAGCCCGTCAGCACTAGCGGATACTTGAAGAAAACACTAGAATATTCTCGTGTAAAATTACTAATATACTAACGTTTTTCTTATTGTGATTCTTGATCCCTCTTAACCTTGTTTATTTGGGACATATAATTAAGTTCCTGTTCAACCGTGTTCGAAGAATACTAAGCAATCAGAGTGGCTGGATTGTAATGAGGGTTTATAATATTTAAGGATTTAAACACGAGATATATTACGACTGCATCTGAGTACTTAAGTTTAGATTTTTAAACTAAGTTGAGGGTTCGTTATTTCCGAACGTTAAAGATTGGTAGGATTGAAGATAAGTGGAGGGACTGATTGTCCTCTCAAAACTGTCACCGAATTTAACTCTTATCAACATTGTTTGGTTTGGATAGCGGGAAGTATGTACAGTAGTAGCAGAAAGGCTTTGGATATCCCACATGATCCAGATTCATTAAAATACAATTAGAATTCACTTGTATAAAAATCATGACGTTCTCAAACTCTCGTAGTTGCATTAACTCATGTACATACAGTAACTTGGTAACATGTGATTTAAACGAATACAACAAGGATCAGAGCTTAATACGTAAATACATGCTTGGTTATTAAGTTCCTTTGATGTCATACAAGTAACTTATATAAAACAGTATTTCAAGAACCCAATTAAGAATAACAGAAAACTAACTTTAAAGTATACTCATCCTTGTTAGCATTTTTACCGCCTGATTTACAACCAGTTGATAATGAGGTTGAACCGCATGTATTGGATCTACTACTAGCAGCAGCCCCAGAAGAAGCTGAACTTACATTCGAATTATTAGAAAGAGTTGTTTTATTTGAAGCAATATTGATTGATGGAGGTGATTGTTTTGTTTCACAAGATTTTGAATTTGATGGTGTACAGTTCAATTTGGCTCTACTATTATTACTAGTTGAATTAGAACAAGTTGAAGTTGATAAACCAGATGTAACTGAAGCAAGTAGTGACGTGGATTTCTTGTGAACTAATTTATCCTCCTTCATATCAGTGTCCCTCTCTATATGATTGTCAGCAGAAACAGTATCCGGAACAACAGAGTTAGGGACAGATGGAACCTTTACAATGATCGTTTGAGCGAGAGAGACGGCCACATACGATTCAGGCTAAGAATGTAGGATAGGAAACAAAACTTTGTGGCGAGGAACTTATAAAAAGACTCAGAAATAACTTAAACAGCTAGAATAAGCCTGTTTTTCTGAATTACGAAGTATTGAGTTTAAATACAAACTCTTTTTTACTATTCGTGCCAAATTAAAACGATTTCCTATGTATGTGAACACCTGTGAAAGGTTATTTCATGTTATAAATGATCGTCACTGCTTTTACAAGAGATTGCAGCTACTACGCAGTTGCCTTAAATAAACTGGACTCTGACACAAAAGTAATTTTTATATTTTACAAACCAGCAATTTGACACTGTTTCTTCATTATTGACAGAATACATAACATTATAAGGCAATAAACTTAGTTTTTCCTGAACATTATGTGCTACATATCTCCGTGTTAATTTGCTATGAAAACTAGGGACGATGGAGATTTGTCTCAAGTTGTATGACTGACTGATGTTGTTAACTCTTGTTTTTGAATTTTTCTATATTGAGTTGTATATGACTGTATGACTGCAAAACTTAAAATGATAAGCAATCGTAGTGGCCTTGTAATTTTTCGCTGAAACGCATAAAACGTGAGATGAGTGAAAGTTTTAAGTGAGTACCTACGAAGTAAATTTATGCAACCTAACTGATGATTACTTGACTAAAAGTAGAGTCATAAAACAAACTAGTCACAATTCAAGATAGTAACTAGTAAATAGAAATATATGGACTAATCGTCTATTAGAGTACGTTAACGTCATATTTTTCTAATTTGACAGTGATAATCTCACTGAATAAAAGTACATAACTGTTCTCCTTAATATAAATGTAAAATTATATAAAATGTACCTGCTCTGAAAGTGATGATGGTACAGAAGTATGGTTATTCACTGGTTCATCATTTCCTAACCGAAATGTACATTCTTGTGAAACACTACTATCATTTGAACATAAAGAAAGATCTGTACAATTATCACCACGAGTAGATGAATAGACGAGGCGTGTTGTACGGGGATGATTCAGAGATATATTCTTCTTATTAACACTTGAGGCAGGATGAATTTCTTTATCTCTGGAATGAATCGGGTTAACCCTATTTAATTCAGATATATTTCCAGATGAAGTTAAATTTGGCACAGTGGATGTGGGAGAAGAAATAGCCAGTGTTGAACAGTTATTTTCACAAACCATATTCGAATGTTTAGATTTAGGAATGGTGTCTTTATCGAAAGAAAAAACAGAAAACATGAGGCACTTCAATATAATGAGGTACTTGAACAATAGATGATATTACGTCCCACCATAGCCTGAACACACAAAAAACCAAATTACCAATCGAAATCAGAATAAATTTGAAATTACATAATGGTACTTAAGTTGACTTGCTATTATACCTATCAACAAATTAACCAAAATTCCTTAGTTCAATAAAGTGGATTTTCAGTGTAGATAAATGACTTTTTGTTGAAAATGTCACTTGAAAATTATGGGTTCTGTGACCAAACGAAAGTTCAAAAAGAACAACTAATTTAGACCAAGTTATAAATCCTTAAATCTCTTATTACAATTATTTTGATGCACACAGTCCACCTAATAAAATTAGAACTGCTTATACTGTGGTTCATGGTACTTATATCGACAGACATAAGTGGTGTGTAACACCAATCGGAAGTAGCAAACCTGGTAACAAAAGGCTAAGAAGCCAGAGTTGAAGACAAGGGAAAATAGAAAGGAATTGAGAACTTGAAGAATCATACAGAATGTGAGAGACAAATGATGAAAATTTGTAGAAGTATTCAGTGTATGGTTCTTGTATTTTACCAAGATACTCTGTAATTTTGTATTAAAGTACATTCGTTGTCCACACTTATGTTCTCGATCACAATAATACCACTAAAGTACATACAACAATAAAGATTGTGATAATATCATGAATTATAATGCAAGGAAAAAAGTTTTTTAAAAAACACTTCTTAAATTTAGTGTCATAAGATGAACTTATCATATTTTCACTGCTTCTCATGTGTAGAAACCCAAATTAAATGAGCTGATTTAAAAATTGCTGTCATTGAACAACGTTGTAATACGTGCGCGACTAAAAAAGAACAATGGTTATGGAACACAGAAAGCTGACTTATAACTCCAGCTAACTTGTCATATTTTACTAGTTGGGAAAGTGAGGCATTATACTCTCAAGATTCTAAAGAACATCTAACAGGTTAAGATTAGCAGGTCAATTTGAGTTCTATTACACTACCTTCATAATTCTTAAAATGACTTAAATACATAAACATTCTATAATTTATAGATTCAATACTAAGATGAGTGAAGTTGAACACAGTTAGAATACAGGTCTGATAGTCAAAATCAAGAGGCAGAACCAATTAATGAAATACGCGACTGCTTCTAATACTCAAAAGGTACATCGATGTGGGTTTATCAATCACTGGTGGTCGTTAATTAATTTCCAGGTCTTTAATATTGTTTAACTCATTATTATTAATATCCTTTACTTGTGATTGGATGTACGAAGAAAAAGTACCCAAAAGTATTTAACAGTATCTAGCAGTTACTTCTGCGATTCTGTAAAGATTCTTGAAAATGGAAACATACATATAAAAAAAGGGAATGTGAGAGGATTTTCTTGACAATTTGAAGTGTCTCAACGAGTCCAAAAAGCAAATCTACAAAAAAACCATATTACGAAACATATTCAATGAATTTCAATACAGCGGCATTAAGTGCTAGGCATACGTTTTTCGATTTCGTATGAAACAAGCTCTTAAAGTATGTATTTCACTATAAAACCTGGATAAAAATGGAAATATGACTACTAGTATTTTACAGACTTAACTGATAATAATGATACACAATAAAAAAATCCATTACTCTTAAATATCCTAAACGTGGAGAAGTTATTGTTACCAGTAGTCTGTTTTGTGCGAGTGACGTAAACGCAGAAAAAATCTAAGATGAAAGAATCGAAACTTACCTGATTTTAAATAGCACCAAAGTTCCTTTGGTAATGCCTCTTCCAGAATTGAAAAAAACGTTATATTTTGTGCTTCCACAAACTTTTGTCTTCTCTGTGAATTAGGAATATATGAATCACATGAACAAATTAAAAATTTGCAGTAAACAAATAAACTTAAGCGATAACTATTTTATTATCCATATGAGCATCGGTTCAACTTGCCACATTAGCACAGAAAAAAAACTTCATGACAAATCTCAGAGTAGCAGAAGTAGTAACAGTATCAATAATAATAAAAATGGAAATTTATAGGGTGATATCGGAACTAGGTTCTGAAAGAAAACAAGAAATAAATGTCCTTCCTCCATTAAGAACTAGTTTGAATCATGAGATTTAAAGTCCCTAACAATTAGTTGCAATAACCACGCGACCTCTAACCATGTAGTCTACAACTACCTACATGACTCAGTCCAATTTTTAACGACTTAGTACATTGGTATTTTGTCTTACTTTGATAGCCCCTAGCATTCTTCTAATCTGTTCTTACTCCTAAATCTTAAAACAAAGGAAGGTGATGGTTTGGCATAAGAAATACATGTCTCTACCAACTTGGTGGATGAAGATTCACTACTTTATTAATCAACTTGCCATCTTTATCCGCAACCTCGGGATTGTTTACTTGGCGGTACCAAAATCTTTCAAAGATACCTATGACCAAATGCCAGTAACATACGGATATTCTCTATCCATAATGGTTAAGTTTCACACAAACAAAGTGGGACAGAGTGAACTGCTGAGCAATAAACTCGTCCTTTGGCTGGCAGACAAAGATCTCACCTACGCCACAAGTGACGCCAGTTGGCAAAAACCAATCGAGCCCTATAAATACATAACGAGATTTCATCATACACCAGGCCATTAGGACTGATATGACTCCCAAGACAATTGAAGCGATCGATATGTTTAACTACTTCACTTTCCATAAATAATGCAGGCGCTGGTGTAGACCAGTCTTAAAGCAACATTTTGGATTTGAACAGAAAAACATATCCGAAATATACTTAGATTGCTGCTTAAGGTCAGGAGACCTCGGAATTCTTCAGTATCTTTATGAAATGGAACTATGCCATCTCAGTATCCAAAGTCAACAAATGAATCTCTTTGTAGATCAACTCCCGAAAAGTCAGACGATAAGAGCATTATCGCTAAAAGGTTGTCTATGACGAAGTAAAATAAAAATATCGAAAGTGGATAGCCCCGAATAAAACCGCTTGAGATTGACAATTCCATATGTGCTGACTAGATTAGTAGTATTATTATTTGAAAACATAAACATTGGTACAAGGGGGCACCGAATATATACTCGCCAAACAATAACAGTGAGGTTGTGAAGCGATAGAGAATGTAGAGCGCATATAGTAAAAGAAGAACAACGAACGGAAACTAGTGTGTAAGAATGAAATTATTATTATAATGGGAGAAACAGTTCGGTTAAGATACAACCACAGAGAATGCTTTCAGTTAAAGAAGTTACGTTCACCAACATAAAGAAAGAAAAAAACTGCAGCAGGATCGCCACTGGCTTCTATTCGGAACCATATCTAATAAAGTCTCTAGCCGCTGTGTTGCACCATCTCTAAGACCCCAACCAAAGAGTCGTGAAGGACTAACAGGCGCCAATCCTGTATACTTCCCTTCATACCACGACACCATGTCATACACTGGCCACCTATCCGCTTTTTCCAACCAGTCCCACCGTCGGCGAATGATGCACGACGTGGAATTCTCTGGGACGACATTTGTAGAACATGTCCAAGCCACCGAAGTGACACCAAATGGATGGTTGACATTATGCTCGAACACACAATGCCGAACCTCTGCATTACTAACATGGTATGCAACTGGATGTCAGCAATCCTTCGGAGACAACGATGATCAAACACAGAGAGTTGTCTAACATCCTCAACTCGGCGAGGCCAGGTTTCACAAGCGTAGAACAAAACCGCTCTCACCGACGCGTTGTAGATCCGACGTTTACATCACGAAGACGCCAAAGATGGCCCAGATTGGTATAGGCCGCTCTGACTTTCACTATACGCCTGCGCTAGCACTTACCCAGTTATTCAGATACGTGAACTTCTCGACTACTTCTATCCACTCACTAACCAGGGTGAGTGCAGGTTCAGGGTCCTGCCAGTCTTGTAGAAGTACTTTGCACTTCGAAGGTGCAAACAACGTACCATACTTACTGGCACTGATTGTCAACTGATTAAGTGTGGATTGCATGGCTTGGACATTATCCCACAGTAACACAATATCATCCGCATACTCAAGGTCGAGAAGTCTTTCTCCAGGCAATAGATCCACACTACCATTACTTACATCCATCAGAGCTGTTTTCAGAATGTCATCGATGGCAAAGTTGAGAAGGAATGGTGAGATTGGGCAACCCTGCCTAACCCCACTGCTCGAATGGGACAATGGAGGAAGGTGGTTGTATGCCATCACTCTACCTAAGGTGTTTGTATATAGGGCTTTTAGGATGTTAATAAACTTCTCAGGCACACCCTTCTTCAATAGACAATCCCAGAGAACAGTCCTGTCCAACGAATCGAAGGCAGCCCTGATGTCAAGAAACCCTACGATTGTTGGCTTGTGATAAGTATGTCGGTGTTCTAACATTTGGCGGAGGGTGGAGATATGATCAATACATCCTCGACCAGAACGAACCCAGCCTGCTCCTCGCGAGTCAATTTTTCTCGGGTTTTGAACAACCTACGAAGTATGACGGAAGCCAATAGCTTGGACGCAATAGGAAGAAGATTTATCCCCCGATAGTTATTACAGGAACAACGTGAACCCGTTTTAAAGATAGGGACAACTATCGACTCATTCCATGACGTTGGAAAACTCCCAGACCTTTGTAAACAACGTTTTCATTTCCTTGACCAGAAAGTCACTACCATCTTTAAAAGGAGCAGAAGGTAAGTCATCTAGTTTCCGTGACTTGTAGTGCTTCAAGAGTTGGAGTTCCTTGCGGACTTCCGCCTCATTCTGTGGATCATTCGTCACCGGCCATGGAGGGCAGGACAGTCTGACCGATGTTGCCGGAGCAGCAGGCCAGTTGAACTGCCCTTCGAAGAATTCTGCACATCGTCCAAGACGTCGATGAATGTTGGTGATTGGCATCCTGTCATCCTCGCAGATTGTTTCGCTCACACCAGACGTTTTGCGAGTGCCTCGGTGACTTCAAAGAGCTCCTAGCAGCTTCCATGTGCAACTGCTGTTTTCAACTCATCAACACCCTCTGACCATCAGGCTTCTCGGTCCTTACAAAATGTTTGTCCAATATCATTAAGTGACAGTTGTCTTTTGTGGTCAAACTCACGGTCACTCGAAGTAAAAAGACGGGATTCGATGAGTTGTGAGGATTCAGAAGAAACCCAATGCTTGTAATTGTGTCGCTTATGAAGACAAATTTGTCGGTCACTGAAAAGTAAATGAAGATTTGCGCGAACATGGGCAAGATAAGAGTTCAGATAGGTACTCTAAATGGAGTTTCCGTCTTGTACACAACCACGTCTGCGGTAGCTGATCGCGATGTGATCAATCTGAGTCCAGGTTTGCGATGCTGAGGGAGGACGTCACGTGGTACATAAGCGATGTTAGCACTAGCCAGAAGCAGGTTGTGGTCTGTGCACAGTTGCATTAGACGGTCCCCGTTATCTGTCCTGCGACCAACAAGTCCGCATCGGCCGCGTAAACGACCCTCTAATCTGACTAGACGCCCGACCTGAGCATTCAAGTCTCCGGCTAGTAATACAATAGCCGTCGAACGCACCTTCTGGGGAAGAACAGTTAACCGATGATAAAATTCATCCTTGATCGCATCTGGGCTGCAATCTATCGGACCCCTAGACGTAATGTGGTGTGCAACGTTGTTGTTCACAACTGAAAGCTCCGGTCGCGTTTTGTACATTTCTGGGTAATTTTTGAGTGTCGTTTGAAAGTATAGGTCGATTGTATGTTTGACCATGGCTGGCGATAACATACACTCAGAGAGTTGTTCTGATGCTGTCCAGTAAGTGCATAAAGAGCTTATAGAACAGGGATAGATTAAGAAAGCTTTTTATAAGGTACCTCATAACTTCCTAATCGACAGACCTCAGTCATTTGGAATTACAAACCCACTATTGCGATGGATTGTAGCGGTAAATAAATCCCCAAAATAAATAGCTCTGTAAGTTTTCGACATTGGATGCTGACCATATGTTTTAGTGGACTCATCTAACTGAAGGCGCTCGATCAGGCATCCTCACCAGATCACGTGTGGTAACACCGTGCTCAACATCAACCGCAATCGCTAGCCAGATTAGATCAGAGAATTCCGATATATTGGTCATCGCCAAATATACTCTTCCGATCTCCTCGACTCTGTCTTTTGATTACTCTGGGCGGGAACGAAATATATTAGAAGGTGTTACTGGTATAAGCGTTGTCAAACACTGAATACCTGTGACATCATCATTGGTGAGCCCGACGTGATCTGGTACACCTAATTGCAACTGTGAGTCTGTTCCTTTTTTGGGATTTTTATATATCATTGCCTTATTTTTTTTATTTTTTTTAAACATTGTGATTTTTTTTCGTGTTTTTTCCTGGATATATATATTTTCCCCTCGTTCATTATCGTACTTCATACTTCATCATGACTGAACAGACACCTAAAGTACTCAAGCTTAAGACTTTGTCCCTGCCTTCGTTTCAACTGATGCCTTTCTGGCCCGACAACATCGAAGCCTGGTTTTGCTACGCAGAAGCCGACTTCCACGAGCACGGCGTGATCGACACACGTGCACAATTCCTCGCAGTAGTCAAGGCACTACCGCGCGAATTCAACAGGTACGTAACTCCTAGTATGTTTACTAGTAATGTTTCCGATCCTTACGAAATCTTAAAACGCTCGATTCTTAAACGAGGAGACCTAACCGATCGACAAAGGTTAGATCAACTCTTCAATAACATAGACCTGCAACACGGTTCTGCGACGGACATGTTGCAACGGATGAGAGAGGTAATAGGCCCAAGAACTTTCGATGGAGGTCTATTCAAACAACTCTTCTTGTCAAAACTTCCCCAACAGGTGCAAGCAGTTCTGGTCTCGTTCCAGAACAACGCCTTAGACGAGCTAGCTGTATCTGCCGACCGCATTTTAGAAATTACGAAACCTTCTATTACCGAGGTATTTTCAGTCAAAGAAAAACCTCAAACGACTCAGAATGATATAACCGAGTTATGTCACACACTCACGCGTTATCTTAGTCTTCATACCGACCGCAAGAGATCGCGCACACCACGTAGAAGCATTTCTCGTAAGCGATCTGTCTCTAGACCACGAGAGACAGATAACCCCGACTGGTGCTGGTATCATAACCAGTATAGAAAGCTTTCCAGAAATTGCAGAAAACCCTGCAATTTCCCCAACACGAAACCGACTGATTCGAAAAGCAATTCGGGAAACTTCCAAGCCGGCACGCGTTAACGGCAACCGTAGCCGGCGAACAAAGCCGTCTGTTATACGTCACAGATGTGACAACGAGAGTTCGCTACCTCGTCGACACCGGCGCAGAAGTTAGCGTTCTCCCAGCAAATCCTAACGACCGACTACACGAATCGACCCTAAACTTACAGGCGGCAAGCGGAAAACCGATCGTTACATATGGCAAAAGGTACGTTTACCTTAACGTGGGTTTACGCAAACCCATCCACTGGATTTTCGTTGTTGCAGATGTTTCTATGCCAATCATTGGTATGGACCTTCTACAACACCACAATCTGATCATCGACACTCGCAAACGGAGGCTAGTAGACGGAAACACTAATTTGTCCGTTTGCGTAACTTCTTTTACTGGTTGCAGAGTATCCCCAGTCACAGTTAAACATATGATAGACCCACTCTATCAACCACTACTCGATAAGTACCCTGGGATACAACAAACTCAACCGAAACTACCGTGTGTAACCAGCAATGTTACACATCACATCACGACTACAGGACCACCTGTATTCTCTAAAGCACGACGACTA